GATTACAGGCATGCTCTGTCATGCTCAGCTCAAATCTTGATTTTTACCAGCTTTGGTAGGCAGACAGGGCAGGTGCCATTCTCATTTCATAAAAAATTTTGTCAGAGAAGTTAATTGACTTGCTAATGGTTACAGTTACTATGAATTGAGCTAGTTCTACAGTGTAAGCCTTTTTTTTTTTTTTTGTATTTGGTACAGGGTCTCACTATGCAGCTCCGAGTCTTAGTGATCCTCCTGTTTTCAGCCTCCCCAGTGCTAGGGTTACAGGCGTGCGCCACCATGCCCATCTCAATGGTGGGCTCAGCACACCTAGGGGCGGAGTCAGCACAGCATGTGGTGCTGGGGATTGAGCCCCAGTCCCTGTGCTTGCCTAAGTAGGTGCTTAGTCCTCTGAGCTATCTGACTGGCCCCAATGTAGGCCTTTTGACTCACAGTCCATTATGTACACAGAGAAGAAATAGTCCATGGTAGAGCAGGTAGGAGGCTGGAGACAAGAGCAACAGCAGCAAGTCTCTTTTTTCCTTTTAGTCTATCTAGGCTACAAGCTTTTGTGGGGGGTGTCACCCTACTCAGGTGGGCATTCCTGTTATCCGTACATAACTAAGCTAAGCCAGTCAGTTGACTAATTTAGCTATCAGTCTTAATCCATATGAACATACCCTAAATCCAGCTACCTCTGAGAAGCAGCATCTTGAGTGTCTGAAACTTTGGGGACACAACTACATACAAGCTGTAACAGAAAAGCAGAAAAAACTTGTACGAATCCATAAGGGTATTTGTGAGGAAGTTTAAATTTTGCCTTGAGAACAAAAGAACAGTAGAATGAAGAATATATGCATAGAAGAGGAATATAATTTGGAAAAGCCTTACTTTATTCTGCTTTCTTTTATCATCTTGAATCAAATACATACACATATGTGCATATATATTTCAAATTAAAAAGACTGATTGCCCCTTTAGGGAGCTGGTGTTTAGACCTTTTTTTTCTTTTTTTTCAGTAACTTTTGGTGTGTATGCTATAGATTTATATTTTCTTCATTTCCATTTCATTCTTTTGCTTTGTTTTATTGCATACTTTAATAGTTCAGAATATAGATTGCAAAGATATGCTTATGAAACATTTTATAAAGTCAATCAGGTAATTTTTTTTTTAATGTGTCTATATACAGAAAAATTTTCTATCTACGGGTGAAACAGATCCATCTACTCTGGGAGTTTCTCTTCCTATTGGTGAGAGGTTATCTGCTAAGGTAGGTGGGTAATAGTTCTCACTGTGGGTAGTTTTCTAAGGCATCAAAATTATATTTCTAATTTAAATGTAGACCATTACATCATTTTCTCATATTAGAGTATAGTTATTTTTGAAAAAATCTATGGAGTCTCTAGTTGTGCTGTTTAAAAAGTTTTTTAAACATGTCATCATGTGAAGATATATTTCTTTAATATGTTGATTCTTGTGTTCTATGATTACACTTAAATTGAATAATCAGAATTTTATTTTCAGCAGTGCTTTCTGAACTGCAACATTGATGCACAGGATACAATTATCAGTAAAATGTAGATGTAAGAGTACAGTGAGTTCTTAGGAGAGCAAGGGTTGGGCTCTTGCAGTGTGTGCTTTTACTCATATTTTTTAGAGGTAATAGCCTTAAAATGCTATATACTCCTTGTATAGACTCAGTTTTCAAGGTAGGTCAGTATATAAAACAAAGACAGTAATTTTCAAAAAACAGTGTTAATTTCAGAGTCCAGAGTGCTCACCATTACACTATGGAACCCATATAAAGCAGGCTTATTTTCATCAGTACTTCTTTTAAATTACTTTGTTTCAGTGACATTCATGGTATGAAGAATTTAAGAACGTTTCCTAATTTCCTATTGTGTACTCATAGAGCATTTATATTATATTTTAATGTGTATATAATTTTACCTTTTTGTATTTAAAATAATAACAAGAGTCCTTTAAACTTGGGAAGGACATTTAGCAGCAGGTGTTTTGGGACTAGGTTTGGAAATTGAGGGAGTGAAAAATGGGCTGTCTTTGAGAGAAAGTGTAACTGGCTTATATCCTTTTGGAAATGGACTTCCTTGCAAACAGTTATCATATTTACTAATAGGAGAGATTCATCTGTAAATGCTGTGTGCACGATGTACCTGGTTTGTCTAGGATTGCTATAGGTAAAGAAATCTGGAATTGTGGATTTATGGGGAATGGCTCTTTGGAAAATGTTGTCTAATTTCTGTAATTACAGTACTGAAATGGAAATGTTCTACGACTAGAGGTCTCATGTATTAGTGGATCAAGTGCCACATATTCTCATGTGGTAAGAGAGCTGTGGGGAGCTGCAGTGATGGTCAAAGCTTTTCCTTTTGGTCTTGTTCCTTATAATGATTTATATCCTTTACATCATTAGTAGACTTTGATTCTGAGTAAGAACTTTGATTTGTATGATTCTGATACAGTATTAAAATACTTTTTCCTGAAGTTGGAATTAACATTGGGTTTTGGTTTCTGTTTTAAGGAAAGGTTGAAACTTGAACGAAACAAAGAATATAATCAGTTTCTCAGGGGTAAGGAAGAATCCAGTGAAAAGTTCAGACAGGTAGAAAAGAACACTGAGGTAAATTTTGGTTTTAAAGTTTTAATGTCAAAGGCTGAATATCTTGTACTTATTTGAAAAGCTTTTTATATTTTAGACAATTGAGTTTTATATAAAACTTTAAAAAATTAAGCCAAACATAGGACATTTAAATGTTTATTTTAGGAACGGCTTTATCTAGACCTGAAGAATTTTATGTTTTAAATGTAATCTTTAGGGCCTGCCATGCCAGCCCTGCCCCCAAGGCTTGCTGAGATGGCAGTTGAGACGGGGTGTGGTGGCGCAGCCTGTAATCGCAGCTCTTGGGGGCTGTAAACAGGTGGATCGCTGCGAGTCCCATCTAGTTGTGAGACCCTGTGAACACCCTGTAGACCCTTCCCTAAAATACAAAAATAAATAAATAAAATGTACTCTAACTTGAGAAATTTAATTTTAGAGATCAGTTTTATGAAATAATTTATTTTTAAGTGATTTTTTAAAATTGACAGTTCTCTCTCCTCTCTCTCTCCCAAATTTTAGGATGTCTGATGCTTTTAGAGCCACACCTTTATCAATTCTATGTTCTTTATGTTGAAAAAGAATTTAATTTGAAATATTTTGAAGTAATATTTAACTGCAAAGATATGTCTGGTATCTTCTGGGATAGGAATTTGGATTTAGTTTGTTTTCTATTTTTATATCTACTTATTCATTTTACTGTTGTCTGTTTATTAATATTTGATGTTTTATTGCAAGGTACCTTTTGCTTGAAATTTTCTTCTAAAGAAAAAATATTTCTCACAGGTGCTTAAATGTAAAAATTGAGAGTTTAAGGCTTTAAGAGATAGTAGCTCATTGATTGCTGTCTTTTTTCTTTTTTAATTGAATAGCCCAAGCGTCAAAGCAATAAACATCCTGTTAGTCAAGATAAATCTGATTTACCTCTACAAAGACACACATACTGCACAAATTCTGAAGGTCCCGGGAGGGATGTCTTACCTCCTTCAGAGACCTACGAGGAACTTCTCAACCGGAGACGGCAAGAGGAGGACAGATACCGACAACTGGATGATGAAATTGAATTAAGAAGTAAAAGAATCACTAAAACAACTAATGAGGAAGTGGGTGTGTCCAATACAAAACATCAGAGGTTTGCCAGCAAGCCTGGTGTTTCAGAGAGAAGATTGTGCAGGTTTCATGAGGTTCCTGCTTTTGATAGACAGTATTATAAACCAGACAAAGATCCTGAAGTAAGTGAAGAAATGGATGAAAGGTTTAGATATGAAAGTGATTATGATAGAAGACTTTTGAGAGTGTGTACAAATGACAGGTATCTACCACTTTGTTTTTATATATTTATTAATACTGTGTTATTTTTTCAGTATATTAGGGAATAGCAGTTTCATTTGATTTACCATATAATTCTAAGATACTGTTTTATAAAGCACCGTTATATTATGAGCCCACCGGGTTGAAAAAAAGTAAACTAAACACACAAGATGGGCACCCTGGTATAAAGCTGAAAACCTGAAAGCCATACCTTTCATGTGAAAATAAATGGGAAGTGAACATTCCCTCAGGAAGGGAAAGAAGAGAAATTGAAGCTAGTCATGGTGAGGCAGGAGGATTGGAAGTTTGCACCCAGCCTGGGCAACTTAGTGTCTTAGCGAGATTGTCTCAAAATTAAAAATAAAAAAGACTGGGGATATAGTTCAGTATGAAGGTCTGGGTTCAGTCCCTAGCAGTGCAAACAAATCAAAACAAAAACTTTAGTAAGGTCATTTCCATGCCTCAAGTTTGGCACTGAAAAGAGAGAGTAAAAGAACTAAAATCTTGTCTGGAAATTTGGAGTGTAAAACAGTGCACAGGTTCTCAGTCTGAATTCATGCTGCCAGTAGTGTCCCCAAAACCCCAAGACATGAATTCAGGGTGTCTTGATTGTCTCGTGTGACTGGCAAAGGAAAAGTAACTCTTCTGTGTGGTAATGCGACTTGAAACCAGGCTGATGGCCATCCCAATTCTGATGTTAAAGGGACAATTTAAAATGTGTGAAGTAGTTTATTAACTTTAAAATGTTTATTCCTTTAATGTTCGTGTATTCTAATTATCAACATATATTTGTTTTCAAATTACTTCGTGAACATTTGTCTAAGTGGAATGGCATTGTTTTACTGGATTTTCAAATGCTTTTTTATTTCCTTTGAATGATTATATTTGTGGTAATATTTGTAATTACCTACTACAATGAAATCTTATTTTATTGTCATAGTCATATTTACTACAGAACATTTATTTATTTATTTATTTAATTTTCTTTTTTTGGCGGAACTGGGGATTGAATGTAGGCCCTTGTGCTTGCAAGGCAAGCACTTATTCTACTGAACTATCTCCCTGGCCCCTTTACAGAAATATTTAGACATATGTTTACCTAACTTTTTTTTCCCTTTTTTTTAAAAAAAAATTATGTATTTGATATAGGGTCTCACTAGGCATCTCCAACTCCTAGTGATACTCTTGTTTTCAGTTTCCCAGTGCTGGGATTACAGGCATGCACCACCATGCTCAGTCTCCTTGGTCAGCATGCCTGAGGGTGGGGCTGGTGCAGGGGTGCTGGGAATTGAACCCAGTCCCTGCACTTGTTTAAGCAGATACTTAGTCCACTGAGCAATATCTCACAGGCCCTTATTTACCTAACTTATAGAGAAATGTCACAGGGTCCCCTATTCATCATTGACTTGTTAACTTGAAAGGGTTAAATCTAAATTTTGAACAGTTTATGGGACTTGTTTCATTTATTAGTCCAAATAATTTACTTTTTAATATTTTAAAAATCTTTTTCAGGGATAATCCTGCGTTTTTAGTATTCTATTAGCAATAATTATGGCTTAGCTATGCCTCATTGGCTATGATACTGCCGCTGTGCAAAGCTTAGTATGATAACAGAGCTAAAGTTTTACAGTTCTCATTTACTTTTTATGTCGTAGTGGTTCTGTTCTGTTCACACTTTCAGGGGTACTGTATTGAGGATTGCATCCAGGGAGCACTGAGCTACATTGCCTACCTTTAACACTTTATTTTGAAATAATACCTTGCTAAGTTGACCAGAATTTGAACTTGAGAACCTCTCACTTCAGCCTCCTAGCTGGCTACTGCACAATGCCACAGTATTTTTAAATATTTTAATATTCACACTGGTTTAAATAATTTTAAGTGAAGGGTTTACAATTTTGGAATTCCCATTGTAGCTCTTCTGATCTGAATTTAATTGTACTTCAGAAAATGCTCCAAATTCTATAGTGTCTTTCACTTGTACATGAAAATGCTTTTTATCTGAAGGTAATTAAAGCTGCCCTAACTGAAAGAACTCTCATTTGGAGAACTTTAGGTAGTCTTGGACTTTTGGTGATGCTTTCTTTGTACGTGAGAACTTTTTCCCTCTGTGTGTACCTTTAGAATGTACTGTATGCATACATTTTTAGTTTGGAATCTTAAAGACATGACTGCTACTTTGCTTTTATATATATTTTACTTTTTACAATTAAACCTTGTGATGATTTTATATATGAATTGACAAATGGATTCTATCCTAGTGATTTGAGAACTAGCTTATTTTTTAACATATCTTGTAAATGAAATGAACTTTTTATATTAACTTCCCCGATTAGTATTTTGAGAATAAACATGTGGTTGAGTTCTCACTTAAGAACTTAAGACTAGTTACTAATTAATGTGTTTCTTCAAAATGTAAGTCATGTGGTGGCACACACCTGTAATCTCAGCTCTCTGGGAAGCTGAGGCAGGCTAACCCAATGTTCCAGCCCAGCCTGGGCAATTTAACAACTTAGCAAAACTCTGTTTCAAGAGAAACAAGAAAATAAATAAATTAAAGAGGGCTAGGGATACAGTGAGTGCAAAAGCCTTGGGTTTAATCCCCATTAGTGAGAAGGAAAAAAAAAATCTCATAGTAGTTCTGTTTTGTTAATGTATCAGATCTTACCTCTTCAAGTGTTGAAAGTGTTTCATATGTTATCTTGATGATAATTGAGGTTATTTCCAGTCCCATTCCCCAAATGTTTTATATCAGTCACTCAGTAATTTATATTTACTTACTAGGCAAAGTGGTTAGTAGAGTAAATGACTATTAGGAAAAAATTTGAGGCTGATATCCAAAATTATTTTTCTTGTTCTCTGTCTTTCCCCCTCTTTTTTTCTGAGGGGGGAGGGGGCGACTGGAGATTGAACTCAGGACCTTGCGCTTACCAGGAAGACGCTTATCCTGCTGAGCTATCTCCCCAGTCCCCATTTCCCCCCTTCTAAAGTCAATCTCTGATAAGTTCTATGCTTTTATATTTTGACCTTGGCTTCTAATTACTTTAATTGTAATTATTTTCAATGTATAACAGTGTATTTAAAGATGGGAAAGTGAAAATTTTCTTCAAAAAGTAATATTTTTTAAAACTGATAATGTGAATCACTGGCAATATTTTTACATAATTAACAAGGTGGTTAGCGCTGTGACAGTTGTTATTTTGTGTATTTCATTGGTTTTTATATGCTTACTAATTTGAGTAAAATTTATGTTTTAGGAGCCTTCTGTAGTTGAATGTAGTTGTATACCTTATGATCTTTCAAAATTTTTAGGCTCTTTGAAAGCATTCATCTTATTATTTATTAATGTGAGCTGTAGAAGCTTACATGTTACCTTATGTTTTATTTTAGCATATAATGTTAATAAGTAAAAAGTTTTTAGCATGAAAATGCTGTTTTTTTCTATATGGTAAATGTACTTAGGATTTTCATTTTACTTAAATGTTGGTATTTGCTGTTTATAATTAGTAGTCATGTAATACAGTTCTGAAATAGTACTCCTGTAGTTGGAAAGTTCTTGTAACTACATAGATGAAGTGCTCAGTGTAAGATATTCTTCTAAGCTTAATGTATAAGATGTAAGTGAGGAGAAATGGCTTATTAGAATTTACATTATCTAATTTGTTACTTTTTCATCTTTTAGTAGTTTTAATTCATCTTTGGCTAGGTCATTGTAAAAATTATTTTCCTCACTTTGAAGATAGAGTTGAAAATAGAAAACACTGTTGTTAAAGTTTTATCTCTTAGGAAAGAACTAAAGAGAATAAGAAAAACATTTCAGAGTTTTTCTTTAACTTTTATAGCAGTAGTACCCTTAAGAGCAGATTTCATTTAGAAGAGAGAAAATTTTGATATGAAGGCAAAGTGATATAGCTGCTACTATTATCAATTAGATGGTTTCTTTAAGGAGAAATTGGATTTTTCCCAGTGTGCTGTATTAGCGTCGGACCAACAGATGGCAAGAAGTTTATTTTTAAAATGTGTTATTATTGATAATGTAAACACTGTAAATTTACTTCTGAAGTAGGGTGTCTTATTAAGAAAGAAGGAAAGGTACTCATCATTTAGAAATTGATTTATTCCTGTTTAAGTGAGATGGTTGAAAATACCTGTGATTTTCAATGGTTAGGTTTACTTTTTTTGTTCTTTTGTTTTTTCTTTTTTGAATTTTTGAGACTGGGTCTTACTCTGTACTTGAGGCTGGGCTTGGACATACTGTATATTCCAGGCTGGCCTACCAACTCATGACCTCAACCTCCTAAGTGCTGGGATTATAGACACTAGGCACCAGACTCATTTACTTGTTTTATTTCTGAAGAAAGTTTATGAACAATTGATGCATTAGCTTTCAGGGTAAAGTTGGTTCTGACTCTGTAACTGGGTTCTCATGGCATTAAGATTTTTTACCTCATCAACTAAATATTCATGTCTTTTTAGGGAAACAGGAAAGGGGAAAAAGGGAAATTATTTGGTATTTATTTCATTCCCTCAGTCATAATCTAATTTGTATTCAAATTAAGCACAGTTTCTCTTTTTATGAGTTCTGCCCTTTTCTAGCAATGAGTTGAGGGGTGGTAACTGTACTATGCATTTTATGTATATATATACATATTGCTTCTGGGTTTGGTGTTCTAGCTCTGAATTTCTTAATAACCAAACAGAAAAGATTTCTTAGAAAAACTGAATCTGTACTGAATCCCTGTACTGTTCTTTTTCTTGACTAAATACTTCCTGTATGTTGATTTTATTATAATTATCAGTCATAGGTAGCTTTTAAAAACTTAACAAATTTTTTTTTTCTTCAGTGGAAGGTACATTTTAGAACATCTTTTATATGGACTGTTTCCTGGGAAATCTTTGTGGTTTTACTATAGATTTTAGAAGAGAGACCTTACTTTTCTACATAAGTAAAATCATTTGTTAAATTTCTTGAATTTAGAATAAACTTTGAAAATCACCTGTTGGGCACATAGCACTTGCTTTCTTACCTTTATATGCTGAAGAGCCTCAAGATATTTTTATATGCTGATACAATTTAAGTGTAGATGCTTTCATATAGCTGTATAAAAATAAGCTAGAATTATAAGTCCAAATATTTTCTTTTAACAACTTAATTGAAAATGGAGGAAGCCACAAGCTCTTTGGTAATTTTTTTCTCTCTGATAGATTTTCTAAACATGTTTTGTTTGTCTTAAATGGCCTTTAATTGTAGAGTTCCAAGTTATGCTTTAAAAATTTGTAACTTCAAATTACCCTGTTTAAAGTTTTCATTGACATGGCGACTGCTTTGCCACATAAGTGCGTTTACTTTTTTGTATTGTGTCATGGGTTCCCAAGGCCACTCCTAGGTTTGATGATTCTCTAGAAAGACTTTCTAGGATTTGTATATGTAGTTGTAATCATGACTATGTATATAGTTGTAATAATGGCTATGATTTATTGCATCAAAAAGATAGAAAACAAAATCAGCAAAGGGAAAGGTGCACGGGACAGAATCGGAAGGAAAGGAGACATGAGTGTTTCAGATCCTCGAGAAGTCACACAGGAGATGCTTAATGCCTTCACTGTTGAATTGTTGGCAGCATGAGGAAATGTTTGCTTATTCAAACTCAGTGTCCAAGGCTTTGGAGTCTTGTCATGTAGGCATCCTTTTATTATCGTGCACTAAAATTCCAAATTTTCTTAAGGTATTGTATGCACTATATTGTTTGGACAAATAGCTTAGCAATAATGAGCCACTCTTACTAGTTATTGGGATGGTGGGAACTCTCCCAAAATCTGTGTTCCAAGCTACTACCCAAAGCTGTCTGTACAAGGAGGCTTTTCTACCCATAGGCAGTCTCTGCTTGCTCTGTTAAGTCCTTTGCACATATGCATTTTATAGATTCAGTGTAAATACATTTAGTTGCCTGGCATTGTTAATTCCCGGTTTGAATTTTTGGGTTTACATCACCTGTGCTTTCAGTTGTCAGGAAATGGCACTAAAACTGTTGGGTCAGCTTAAAAGAGCATACCTAGACTTTAGGTTAGGTAAAGCCAGGTATTTTTTTGATGAATTGTGGTAACTTGAAATTCTTTTTTAATGGTTCATTGAGAGCTCTGTTTTAGATGTGATGTGAGTAAAAAAATGGAAGCCGTTCCATGTATCATCCCAAAACATTAAATCATTCAGATTAAAATCCAAATCATTTTTTTTCTCTCCACAGATCATTTTGACAGCAGTTAGTGTGATGGAAACAAGAATTTTATACTTGTTCTATCAGAATGAAGAGTACCTTTCCTACTAAAACTAAAAACTTTGTTTTATTCATTTAATAGTGAAATTTATTGAAAAATATTGATTGGTAGTCTTAAGTTACTTTCTTGATGCTGAGACACAAGACTTGACACCAACAACTCTTAAGAAGGAAAGTTCATTTTGACTCAGTCTGTAGCAGTTTCAGCCCATAGCTGAGTGCTCCAAGGCAGGGAGGCATGGTAGAGGAGAAACCATTCATGGTATGGCAGCAGGAAACAGAGAAGATAAACACATCTGTTCCCTTTCAGGTCATGCACCCAGTGACTCACCTACTCCTGCCAGGCTTCCCCTCCCAACACCCCACCCAACTATAAACCCCTCAGTGTGCTAATTCCGAGATGAGTATCACACTCATGGTTCAGTCAGTTTGCAGAAACTCCCTCCTCTCCCCCCGCCCCCCCCGTGAGTTCATGAGGCTTTGGAGGGACATAGAGACATAAACCATAACAGTACGTGAGCAACCCTGTTTCTATTAGTCCTCTTGAGAAAGTCAGTCTAGTTTTTAAATAACTCAATAGCCACATAAGAAAATAGGACTTATGAAATACTAGTTTTCATGGAAAAGTGTTGGTATAAAGAAAGTTATATTTGTTTTTGATGTTTGAGAAATTAAATTTAGAAAATCAATGTTTGCCAAATGGAAAAAGAAAATGTTAATTTAAAGATTTTTTTAATTTATAAAAATAGTTTTAAAGAAGAAATTAGAAAAATATTCTTACTTTTTTCATTTCTGTACTTGAAAGTAAAGAGAACTGATCATATCTATCCACAAACTGGCATGTTTGTTCATGCTTTCCACTCAGCTTTTGTTAACATTATTTCGTGTTCTATATGTATTAGCAAATATTGTGGTTTTCTATCTTTGATTTAATTTATTGGTAAGATTGTGGTTATATTTTATGCTAAAAAGTTTGCAAATATGATGAAATAATTTACAAAATTTATGAATTTTAACTTTAAGAAGGCGTTTTCAGTTTGACTGCCGTCTTCATGAGTGCAGCAGCTGTGTGTCTGGAGAACTACTTAGCATGCAGGATTTGCTCAATTATTCACTTACTAAGTATATAATAAAATGTCTACCTTCACTTGCCTTTAACTTTAAAAATATTCTAAGTTTGTAACTTGAAATAAAACATTTCCAGAAGTTATATTGAAATAATTTATAATAATCTGCTAATAGCAGGGTGTGTGGGTTCTTCGTAGTATATGCAAGGCCCTGGTTGCAGTTCCCCAGCACTGTAAACCAAACCCAACCCCACCCCACCACCTTCTCATCCCCCCAAGCCCAAGCCCAACCTGATACCTTAAAATCTTAGTTTCTATTGTTAACCAACAGATCATATCTGAAACAAATCTCGTTTGAATTAATTTTAGAATATGTTTATAGTACAACTTCAGTACAACACCATGTTCCCTTTAATGTTTCCAACATCAAATGTTAAAATGTTAAAGAGATGAGAAGGTCCACTGTGTGTGGAGCATGCTCTATAAGATAATGTGTTTTTAAGGATGCATGGGAAAAGACGAGGGGACGTGCCTTCTATGGAGAATGATGCTGGTGTCATAGAACACTCAAACACACGAATTTCACCTGCTGGAAATGAAAGGTATAGTATGTGATATAAATTCTGCCCTTAAGTCACCACACTGAAACAGCACCTACCTAAAACTGGCTCCTTGAAAAAAAATACAAAGGTATAGTATATTGATAGCCTTCTTACCTAGTGAGAAAGGAATTAAAGTTAAAAAAAAAATGAAGAGGTAGTAAATGCACATTTATAGTGCTTTACAGCATTATTTTGCAGGACAGATTTTTGGTTATACATGTTCTGGGTATGTATATAAATTTGTTTTATGAGTATATAAATTTGTTATATAAATAGGTATATAACAAATTTGTTTGAATTTGGAGAGATATATGAATAATTTAATGGAGTAAAAATCTATTTAAAGTATCTTGGGAATCATGATCATACACTTTGAAAATATTTCGGCAGTGTGAATTTCTCTTTCAAAACTTCTTGATTTTCAGCTTATTGAATAGATAATTTTTAATATTTCCTTTAGAAGTTAGTACTTACAAATATTATGTCTTTTAGACAGGAAATAACTTCATAGGTTTTTAGTTTTGATGCTTTCTGGTATCGTATACAAGGATAAATGATTTCAATGTATAGTATAATGAAGATGTTTTTTATCTTTGTCATATGTCAAGGCGTCTCTTTGAATAAATGTAGTACATAAAGAATTGCAATAAGTTTCTTGTGTTTTTTCCTAATTGAGTTTTTCATTGAGAGAATTATTTT